AAAGATTATTTATTTATTTACTTATTTGTTTGTTTTTTGAGAGAGAGCTCGCAGGAGCATGAGTGGGGGGAAGGACAGAGCATCAGGTTTTAGATCAATAGTTGACATTCAGTCCTTCATTGGAGAACAGAGGACCACCACCTTCCATGTAGTTAGCCTTGTGCTACATAATCAGGCTAAGAACTTAGATCTGAAAGAATTAAGATCCCACTTAGAAATTTACCACAGTGCCTAAGATTGACCTTGTTCAGGAAAATTTATGGTACTAACATCAATTTTGTTTTTCAGGCTTTAAGAAAACTTTGAAATATATGGAATGGGATAAATTCTTCCTGATCCTCTTGAGTAGATTTCTTTGAGGTTTCAATCTGTCTTCTTGTATATATTTCTTAGTCTGATTGTCTGCTCTCCATTTGTTTATTTGCAACAGCTATTTTGAAGATTTTTGTAGTATTTTACTTAGAAAATGCATTTTATAGGGAGCTTCTCATGAATCTATGTAGGAAACTAGATTTATTCCCAAATAAAATTCTCAATAGTACATTTACGATTTTCTTCCAGATTTTTCAGCTTTGTCCTCTGTCTAGGAGGTAGATGTTAAGGTATATCCACACACAAGTCCAAGTAGCACGATTTCTTCCATCCTTTTGTTCAAGTTTCTCTAAATAAATCTGCCAAAATTCACTGAAGTCTAACCTCTGGGGCCTGAAAACAAAGAGGGAAACAAGACTCCTTTTTGTTTCCAAAGCTGAATTGGGCTTTTATTTAGTTGAGGTTGGAGACCTAAGTGACACTTCCCCAGTCTGTATATGCAAGTAATTTGAATAAGAACAAAGAAACTGATGCTAGTGGAGGTGCTCTGACACACATCCTCAGCCTTTCATATTTAAAATGTTACCCAAAGCCACAGGAAGGAGATTGGGTCCAATGTTAGGTATAAGCATTTTTTAGTTTGGTTAGGTTCCGTCCCAGTGGGAGAGGACTGTGAGTGTGCGCGTCTGTGTTTGTCTGTGTGAGAGAGAGATAGTAAATGCTTAATATTGGTAGTGGAAAAAAATACAGAAGTTGATAATAAAAGCAAGCATCTCAATGTTTTGTTTGAAATCTGGAAGAGAAGGTAAAGTGAAACAGATGGGTCATTAGGCTTTGAGGCTGTGACATTTGGAAGCCACAGTTACATTTCCCTTGAAACTGTGAATAAACAGCTTGGAAATAGTCTATGATGTTCTTTTCTGATACTGGTTTTGTTCCATTTGACTCAGGGCACTGAAAAGCAAGTTTTAGTTAAATTGTCTTGTTGTAATTATTATGCAAGAATGTATCACTTTTTAAATATTTTTACTTCCTATATTCGATTTTAGTGTAACTGGGATTCAGGCTTATAGGAGGCCCATTTAAAGGCCAGGAGTCTTTCTGAGGTTGTTATTATAAGACCACCCTCTTGGTTTAAGTTTTATCTCATAAAATAATATTCATGACGTGTTTACACAACTGTATAGCTTTTTGGAGCTGGAAGGAACTATAGCAATGTGCGTAGAAATGAAGAGCAAACAAACGTGAACAGGCAAAGGCTATTTATTCAGAGCTTGCTATAATAAGGCAGTGAGCCTCCATCACTTATAACTGTGGAGATTTGAAGGCAGGGAGAAAAGTAAGAAGGTCTTGGTGGGACATGGGCTAGACTTCAGATAGGACCCAAATGGAGGCTGTTGGCATGGGAAGTTGCAAACAAGGCCAACCAGGGGGGCGTCCTATGTGATTGGATGGGAATGCAGATTTGATTCTCTCCGGTGGTCCCATATTGGAAGCAGGAGCAAAAATTAGGGAAGCTATCAGTTATTAAGTAAATCCTCGCTGTTTGGGGCCAACTGTCACACGGATTATTGTTTGGCTGCCTGGATTGTTTGTTAGAGATAGTAAGTAGTCTGACTTCCTATAAGTCTGACTCAGGGAAAGTAGACTGGATTTCTGGGCTCATTACCCATATAGATAATGCGTTGGAGTTCTGTTTTCATATGTGGCCTGGCAATTTTCCATTTGTGTTTTCAATTTCTCAGCGATTATCTAGTCCAGATGTAGAAAGATTAAATAAATTCATAAAGAGCAAATGGCTAGAGTTTATTTAAATTAATAGTATCTTTTACATGTGTAGCACTACCTAGTTTTAAAAATATATTAAAGTGGGGCACCTGGGTGGTTCAGTCATTAAGCACTGCCTTTGGCTCAGGTCATGATCCCAGGGTCCTGGGATCAAGCTCTGTGTCAGGTTCCCTGCTCAGTGAGGGGTCTGTTTCTCCCTCTCCCTCTCTCTCTGCTTGCGTTCCCTCTCTTGCTGTTTCTCTCTCTCTTTCTGTCAACAAATAAATAAAATCTTAAAAATATTTTTTAAAATGTAAAATATCATTAGATCCTTCCAATTAAATTAGAGAGGTTAGACTGGGCTGGTTTTATCTCTATTTTGCAGTTAAGAAAAATGAAGCTCCGAGAGGAGAACCCAGTGCTCAGTGATGTGGGTTACTGGCCCATGACCATGCCAGAGCTGCAGAGCTAGGCCACTCAGATGACCTCACCTAGGGTTTCTGACTATATTACAAACTATGTCTGCCTCTGCATCATAGATTCAGGCAATGGGGAACCAAAGTGGGACATTTGTGTTCTCACACTGCTACAAGTCATTGAGTGTTTGAACCAAAACAAAAAGAAAGCAAAATACACATTCTCTGAACCATTTCTGTGATATATTTTTTTCCCCCACTGAAGTCTTTCCCAACGAATCCTCATTTGAATGAAACTTTCAACCTGGTGAATTTTACAACTTGTGATTGTTAGATAATCAGATTTTTGAAAATACTATTAGCTTTGTGTCACTTTAATACATTTACAACACTCGCTTCATTCTCTTGTTCCATTAGGAACATTGTACTTCCCACACACACCAGAAAGATGCCTGAGGAGTTGAGAAAACTACTAAATAAATAAATTAATTAAATACCTATTGAGCAGTATGCAAGGTGCTAAAGACACCAATGAAACAAAACAAATCTTAGCCCCTGCTTCCAAGAACCCAGGACCTTTTGGGAAGAGCAGATACATGGAATGCAGAGATGAGGAAATCCTAGCATGGGGTGGGGATATGGGTGCAGGATACTTAAATTGAGTGACCGTGACTGAGAAGCCTTCTAGGAGGAACAAAGACAAGATACAAAGATCTTCAAAACAGATGAGGTAGAAGACAGTAGCACAAAAACAGCCTTGTTTGAGTTAGAAGTGGAGTGGGGAGGAAGAAGGTCCAGCCAATTTGGTAGTGTTCCTTGAGCACAGTGTTTATGTGGAAAATGATGCAGTTGGAGAGGAAAGGAAGAATGACAGTGGGAATCTTGTGGGTCATCATAAGGAGATTAGACGTAATTCTGTGGGTAAAAGGAGGCTTCTGGAAGGATTTTAGTCAAGGCTACATTATAAACAGGTTTGCATTTTTTGTTTGTTTTTGTTTTTAAACACTTCTCTATGTGCCCTAGAGAGTGGCTATCACATCCATTCCCTGAGATAACACTGTTTAGAACAGCAAGCGGTGATCACTCATAAACCATCTTTACTACATGTGTTTTTAAGCACTTCTGTATATGTGTAACAGAATGGCTATTGCAATCATTCACTGAAAAATACACTTGGTTAGATTTGCATTTTAAACAGATCATTTTGACAGTATATGGAGCTCATACTTCAGAGAAACAAAGATAGAGAATAGGAGACAAATTTCAATAATTCAAGGGCAATGATTAGAGTTAGAACCAAACGAATTGAGGTAGATGTGATACAAAGTACAACAGAAGGGAAAGCGAGATATTCACAAATAAAATTTGTAGACTCTGCTGACTGATAGATTTGAGAAGTAACAGTTAAAGAAAAGGAAAGACAAGCATCTAGCTTGGGTGATTGGCTAGACAGGACAGGAGGAACTGCTGGTTTAGGGAGAAGTGGTGTCAGTCCAAGATCTGAAATGTTTTAAATTTGTGTTATCCATGGGACATCCAGATGTACTTACCCAGCAGGCCATTGGATAAATGAGTTAAAGCTAAGGATAATGATTCAGGATTGTGATAAACTATTTAGAAATCACTAACAATCCAGGAAGGTAAAAATCACAGGAAGACTGTATATAGAATGAGAAGAATGATGGCTAAGCTTGCATCTTGGGGATGGCACATAAGGGATGCATGGAGGAAGGAACATAGGAATGGCAAGAAAGTAGTGTTGGATGTAGAACACAACCCTGGAAGATGGGCCATTATTGAAGCCAAGAGAATTGAAGTTATAAATGAGAATAATCAAAGAGTTGTCAAATGTCTTAAAAAATGTTTTTTAAATTTGCCAATTAGAAGGCAGTAGGTGAGCTTAGCAAAAGCAGTTTTAGCAGAGTGGTGGGCTGAATTCATGAATTCAGAGTGGGTGGCAGGATGAATGGAAGATGAGACAGTAAAGACAGTGAGTCTAACATGCTCTTTAAGAAGTTTCCTTGAAGTTGAGCACCAGAGTTACTAGAAGACTGAAGACTCATTGAGGTTCTCTTCTTCCAATGAGAAAACTATTTCCCAATGATATTAACTTGTACACCTGTTATATTTAAATGTTGTAATCTCCAGCACACTCCCAAGTTGACAAAAAAAATACACACACACACACACACACACACACACACACACACATTATTTTTATTTATTTGACAAGGGAAGAGACAGCAAGAGAGGGAACACAGGCAGAGGGAATGGTAGAAGCATGCTTCCTTCCCACTGAGCAGGGAGCCCAATGCAGGGCTTGATCTCAGGACCTTGGGACCGTGATCTGAGCCAAAGGCAGATGCTTAACAACTGAGCACCCATGTCCCCCCTCACCACCAAATATATTGAAAACATTTGAGAAAATCGCTCTTTAATGTTTTAAAGGAATCTGGGAAGGATTCAACTTTGGTTTAACAGAATGTAATTCTGGTTAATACACAGAATCGACAGAGGAACTGAAAGTCCGAAGCCACAGCACGGAGCCATTACCAAAGTTGGACAGCAAAGAGAGAGGTCATCACGGGACATCTTCCAGAGAGCCTGTCAAAGCTCAGGAATGGGATGGAACACCAGGACCGCCCGTGGTTACCAGTAGACTGGGAAGATGTTCTGTGAGCCCCACTTTGTTAGCAGGAAACCACAGCTCAGGTAAGAGAGATAATGGTCTTTCAGTTGCCATTATCACTTAGAGGACCATAACCACAGACATGGCTGTCCCTACTCATAGAGACAGCATATAAGCAGCCCTTCACACCAAGGGATGAGACAATGTGTTATACCACTCCAGGGAGCATTATCCACATGGACGGTAGAGAAGTGAACAGTGCTTCTTGGAGCTGTACGGTGACGCAGCTCTAACAGTTCAGAACATCTTGTACTAAATTTCGTCTAAAGCATCTAGAGGCCTCATTGAAAGCACTTTCAGTTTATAAAGTTTAAGTGATTTAGAATTTATGTTTCCTGTGCTTCAGGGATGATTTTAGGCAACTGGGACAAAACGAACAGAAAACGGAAGTGAGGATGTATAGGTAACAAGAACCGTCTGAGGCAGTAGAGAGATTAGATATCATGAAGCACGTAGACTGATGATCTGATGATCACGGACTGATGACCGTGGGCATGCTGCTAAGGTTCCAGCTCTAAGTCAGAAGACTTAGAACGTTTTAATCAAATACACCTTTGGATTTTACCAGTTGAAATTAAAATCCGCAATGCAGTTTTGCATTGTTAATAGATAAATATCTATATAAGCATCAAATGTTTAAAAGCAGCATATGTTTGCTTTGAAGTGATTAGTCTACATAATGGACTAACAGAGAGCTGTCAATTGAAGGAAAAAAAACAAAAAACAAAAACCAAATAATCAAGTGACCTCCTGTAGTTTTCAGGTTTCTATCCCTTAAGAATGTTAGGGTTCTGAAGGAAAGACCAATCCTTTAATGTTCTTTTCAACTCTGATACTCGTCTTGGAAAGCAATTTACATGCATTTAGCCTGTGGACTCTCTGGCAGTTATGCACAAGTTAAAATTGGAACAGGATGAATGATCTCTGTATTTGGGAAGGGATGTTTCTAGAATAGGACCCGGGCAGAGACAGAGCAGTATCTTTCCCAGACTTAAAATGTAACTTCTTTCGTGATGGAGCCATAAAAATCTTGGAGAAGAGACAAGTGAATTTAGCAGAAAGTAAAAATTTATTTTTGTTAGTGAAGTATAAATAGCTATAGGTATATGAGAAGATATGTGCATTTTGTCAAAAAGGAAAAGAAACATAGGAACAAATTATATTTTGTAGAAAAAAGCATCTCTCCCTGAGAAGGTTGACCTCACGATTCAGTTGGGACTTAGGATTAATCTTGGGCTTATTAGTAGTATTTTTTAATTATTTAAATTTGTACCAGTTTGATCAAAAATATGAATAATATGTATTCCTATTATGACTAGAGATACAAAACCAAAAAGCATTACCTGAATTTCTATGAGATAATAGCCACTGTTCTAGTTTCTGAGATCACAGTGTTGAATAAGACATCCTTGCATTCAGGTGTTCGAACTCAAATGAAACACAAATGTGAAACAAAGGGGAAATCACTTAATGTTTCCTGGGAGTATATGATTTTGGGAAGAACCATCAAGGGGGTTGGGTGGGTAAAGTAATAACTGCTTGAGGATGTAACATTTGAGCTAAAGCTTGAAACCTCGGGAGTGGCTCCCCAGGAGGATGATGCAGACGAGGTCTGCCTTCTGGATGGACACCTAAAATTCTATGAGATGGAGCATAATAGTTTGTTTGGAGTGGAAGGTGGGGAAAAACTGACTGAAGAAATTGCAGAGTAGCTTGGTACCAAAAAGCAAGAATGCTGAAATGCTTTCAGCAACAAAATGCCAATTAGCAGTGGCTTAAGTAATAAGGTTTCTGTTAACTCCCCTTAGCACTTGATCTGGAGGGAGGCAGTTCCAGGTATTTTGCAACTGTTGAATGATGTCCTTGAGAACAAAGGGACTTTCTGGCTTTTTGTTTTTTGTTTTTTGTTTTTGATTGTTTGTTTTAAAGATTTTATTTATTTATTTGACAGAGAGAGATCACAAGTAGGCAGGAGGCAGGCAGAGAGAGAGGTGGAAGCAGGCTCCCCGCTGAGCAGAAAGCCCAATGCAGGGCTTGATCCCAGGACCTTGGGATCATGACCCAACCGAAGGCAGAGTCTTTAACCCACTGAGCCACCCAGGTGCCCCTGTTTGTTTGTTTGGTTTGTTTTTTAATTTTGCCCTTCTTCTACCTTTGATGATTTTTTTTTTTTTTATGATCATGAGCTGACATTTCTGAGCATTATGCCTCAGCAAAGAGTCCCTTTCATCTAGTCAGTCTAAACTAGGAAACATGTCCTCCAGACCCATCACTCAGTGAAGAGGAATGGGATTTCCATGAGTTTTTAGAGGACCCTTCTTTCTCTTATATCAAAGGGCTTCTGCTTCTACTGGGAAATGAAAGCAACAGTCTGTAATCTCAGGGAGAAAGGGAAGATGGCATTACATAAGCAATGGACAGTATCTGCCACATCATGGTTAGGTTTCCAACATTATGAGATGGATGTTTTGTAGTCACTTAAATATTTTTAAGATAGGTATAATACAGTTCAGTTTTTATCATGAACAATTCACGATCACTCCAAGGTTCAAGAAGGGGTCCCTGGGAGGCCATTAACTAAAATAAAAGTTGTCGAGATGAACTGTGTACCATGGGTTAGGTGGGAAAGTCAGGACTCAATTTTTGACTGTGTTAGGTTGGAAGTGCTCTCAGACATCTAATTAAGAATCTAGTAGACACTTGGAATTAGAAGAGTGTAGGTAAAGAGATTTAGCAATATTACTGACTGAGGCTAGAGACCTTTGGGGGTGGTTAGAACCCTAACACTGGCTGACTCTTAAGTAAAAGAGCAGGAAACTGAGATGAGAAGGAAGCAGAGATTAGACCCTGGGAAACCCAAACATTTGAAGGTGTGGGCAAAAGAAGAAGAACATGTGAAATAAACAAAAATTAAACAATTTGATGGTCCACAATTCAACTTTTACTGAACATTTGTAAAGGTGCATAAAAATGGGTAAATTGTAATGTTTTTTGACACTGATGTGACTCTTCCAAGAAATTTAGAGTGTAAACAGAATTAATAACATACTTTCACTTTCTTCCACTGCAAACTCCCACAGCATCTCTTTTGCATTATGACACCTAAAATCTGCTTTCCTGGGTCTTTCAGCTGTGTTTGTAGGGCAGTAAATTGTCTACTGACCAGAAGAAACAACATAAATATTTTCATTCCCTCACACTCCATCTTAGATGATGAAAGATGTAGAAAAAGGTGGAAGAACAAGAGATTTCTGGTACATTTTTGATAAAGACTTTTTTGTGTCTCTATTATATTAAAAGAAACTCGAAATACAGGGGAAAATGTGGAATCCCATATATAACAAAGTCAGTTAGGGTTTCTTATGTGCCAGAGAAACCATCAAGATGAACACTCAAGGGGCATCTGGGTGGCTCAGTCCGTTAAGTGTCTGACTCTTTTTTTTTTTTTTAAAGATTTTATTTATTTATTTGACAGAAGGAGAGAGAAAGAGATCAAAGTAGGCAGAGAGGCAGGCAGAGAGAGAGGAGGAGGCAGGCTCCCCGCCGAGCAGAGAGCCCAATGCGGGGCTCGATCCCAGGATCCTGAGATCACGACCCGAGCTGAAGGCAGAGGCTTAATCCACTGAGCCACCCAGGCGCCCCAAGTGTCTGACTCTTGATTTCGGCTCAGATCATGATCTTGGGGTTGTCGGATTGAACCCCACATTGGACTCTGTGCTGGGCATGGAGCCTGCTTAAGATTCTCTCTCCTTCTCCTGCTGCCCCTTCCTCCCTTCCCAGTTCATGCTCTTTCTCTCTCTCTTACACACACACACACACACACACACACACACACACACACACACTCAAAAGAGCATTATAATTAAACTTTTCGGAGTCAATCATTCCCAAATATGTCACTGCAATTTTATCTACTGAATCTACCATTGTACCTCTTTTGAGGGAAAGAAGAAAAGGAAAAAGAAGTTTGTTATGTTAGTAGCTTTAATGTTTCTAGAAAGAAAGCACCTAAAATATGCCAATTCTATACTAGAAAATGTCATAGCTTCACTAGCAAAAAATATATAAAATGAGAAAGTCTGAAGTTTACTCACCTTTGGTCTTTTTACCAAAAGATGCCCTAGCTAAAGGATACTCATCAGTGAGATGGTCTTTGTCCACAATAAGCAAGTAACTAGCAAAGGGCGCATTTTGGACTTGCTGCTTTGGAATGGAAATCAGTATTTACTCTTTTCCTTTTCTTCACACTTCCTGTTTGTTATTGTCCCCTACCAGAAACACTAGAACTGCAACCAATAATCCTCCTCCCTAAATAACAGAGGTACTCAGGTCCACACCTAACACTACAGAGGAAAGAAGGTTTCACCTGTTACGCCTATCCATACCCCCGTATCTATCAATACCCTGGTCTGCCAACTTTCTGCTTCTGGTTTCTCTCTCTCTCTCAATTACACAAGCACACACACACACACACACACACACACACACACACACACTCATGAACTGCTACCAGTCACAGACTATTGCTTTACCAAAAGTAGTTTAGCCACTTGGAATGGCTGCTCTTAACAGCTCTTCTGAGGAATGGAGGGATTGCTGAAGTAAAGCGAAGGAATGTGTCAGGAAATCTCAGTTCTAATTAACATTGCCACTGGTTGCTGTGGTACTCTATTAATGTCACTGTTGTTTAGTAAATCAGAGACTCCCCAGAGGGTGATTCCTGAAGGCGGTAGAGGTCTGGGACCCAAATGCTCATGAAAATAAGGGGGAAAAGTGGAAGTTATACAAGTAAATAGAGTATTCACAAAAATTCAGATTTCAGTCACTGACTCAATCAACGAATAGTTTCTAAGCGGCTTGTATCCAACGCTGTAATGGTTTCTGGAGGATAAACACACACACAGGGTATACAAAACACGGTCTCTGGCCCTCAAAGATCTTACTATGCTTCTTTTTAACACAAAACTATTGAACATAAATAATATATTGAACATATATTAATTAGTATAATAAATGCATTTTC